TTTGTTTCTATGCGGGTGAACGTAATTGCGGCTAAATAAACGCGGACGAAAATGGTTCGCGATGTTTTGCATTCGTCGTAGATCATTTAAGGTTGGAAAAGTAGCTATAGTGTTTTTATTCGTGTAAGTTGTACTGTACACAGTAAGCGATGAGCAACACGTCTCCTCGTCTTAGTCGCTGAGCAATTATTGTAACAATTTCAGTACCGTTTCAGGTAGTAAAGCATATCTATACGAATACTTGTTCGTTACTATCCCTTACGATAATAAAATAACGTTTACATCGTCGTCTCGAGGAATCGGCATCGATCTCGAACGGAATCTCGCGTCAGCTTCTCCGAGAATTCGGCCATTCGCAAGACGTGCAAATTCGCAAACAATTAAACAAGCATATCAAACAATTTACCTCCGAGTGAAATCAGGGGTAACTTCGTCGCGCGTATACAAGGTGTTGCGTGGTAAATAGAAACAGCGACGAACGCGCGAGGCAGAACTTTCGCAAAAAGATCACTCGATCTGGGAAATTCTGTAAAGATGATAAACCGATAGAAAAGCTTTCAGTGTCTAGTACGTAGGACGATAGGAGGTTGGCTGTCGTTGGCATTCGATAAGATACTCGATCGCGGATCAATGTGTCTCCGGTAATGCTAATTCGAAGAAGAATCCGAATAATCGTTTTACGCCGCTCACGAAACACCCTGTATACAGTGTCCGACCGAAGCAACGTCGATGTTCGTGCGACAGCACAGTTAAAAAAATATTTCATCTCGATCGAATCGACCCCCAACGGCTACTGGCTACCCCACTCCGATCCGGTCGGCTTCGGTTTCGGTTTCTCGTTCCTCGGAAGCGGTTTCGTGGGGTAAATTTCTGCGTGGCCAATGACAAGTCTCCTCAATATCGTTACCAACGTGCTTCGGATCCAAAAAGTCTCGATACGTGGAGGAGGGAGAAGAAGAATGTCGGGCGAACAGAACGTACACACGTAGCAACCAACGCAAATGCTGCCGATAAATTCGCGTCACGTCTCGTGTATTTGACATCCGGGAATCTTATTTGAAGCCTCGAATCGCGGCCACGTATGACTCTATATTTCGAAGCTCTCGAATATGACTGATTCGCTTACGTGATCCGTTGACCAGACGCCAGACGTCAGACGACAGCCTCTCGAGCCCGTGACGCGCGCGCCTTTATTACTAGAACGGTTATCGTAGTAGAGAATTTCAATAAGCATCGGCAAATGTTTCGATGTTTTAACGGTTTTTAGTGTACAGGGTATATACATTGGTCTTCCATTAAGTTTTGGCAACGTTTCGGCAGCGGCTTTCGTTTTAAGCGACGATTTACGAGGGCAGGCGGCGCACGTGCAGCCGACAAAACGAAGCAACGAAAAGGGACGGAGGGAACGTTCTGCGTCACTTTCAACCTCGATTAAACAAGAAACTTTTATCGGTTTTATCGGACCGATGCTCGCGGACCCGGAAAGATACACAAAGGGACTCGCCTGCGATCCGAGTTCCTTTTAATTGGAAACTGGTTCCTCTCGATGGTGCCTCGATGGTGCCTCGATGGTGCCTCGATGGTGCCTCGATTGCGCCAGGAACGCACGATTCCTCGGTTTATCCAGAGAAGACGATCCGCCGATTTAATCGTCCCTTTCTTGCCCGCGTTGAGCAACCTTTTACTCGGTTCGAATACACGATAACGATTTGTCGTTGGCGGAGGAGGAACGTTTTAATGAAAACGAGACTGGTTGGCAATTCGTTAGGCGACCTGGTTTATTTCTATTCGAAAACTGCTCCGAGACCTACGTTGTCCTACTTTTTACACGACGTTGCTGGTACTCGTCGAATGAAACGACCAGAAATTAATAGTTTCGTGTCAATAGAATCGATAAAACATCGCAGCTCGCTACGAATAGAAAATTGCTATCGAAATTGCCTGTTAAAGGTACAAGTGTAACAGTTACTTTGCGCCGGGAGAAACTTGAAACTGAAAGCTCGAGTTATCGTATCGCGCAGTGCGATATACTCTGCAGGGGAAAAACTGGATCTTTTTTATCTGGGAAAAAACTCTCGGATGTCCAAAGTCACGATCTAGGGCAACTTAAGCTTCAGAGGACGTAAATTAACACGTTGGATCGCATAAAAAAAAAATGAAAGCAATGCAACCGATATGCAAAGATAATTTCACGAGATCAAAGTAGCCACGATCAATTTCAGTTTCGTGTTTCTAAATAGAAAATGTGTTGGGGGTGAAACTATTATCATTTTATCTATCGTGCTCTCGTCACCGTTTGCGCCTCGTTTCCCCGCCGTGGACATAAATTAAAAGCGATTATCCATTAATTGCGTAACACCTGTTATAAAAGACATTCAACGCCCATCGGTCAGAGGAGAGATTATTTTAAAGAGCAGCTGAAATTAGGCGGCTGAATGACCTAGACGGCAACACAAACAAGCTTGACACGACCGTGCACCTAAAAGATTCAAGCCCTCCGTTTAATCGAGTTGCGTAATTCTCGGTAAATCGAGCTTGAAACGATACCGGAAACGTTGCCGAACAAAGCTCATCGAAGAGTGACGTTATTCATATATAATTCTGTCTTCTTATCAACGCACATTACCTTAGTCGATTCACTTACAAAAAGCCATACCAAACGCCCGAGAATCGGCGGTTACGTTCATTACGCTAATATTGGCACCGTGTAGTTACCGAGTGCCGATAACTACTGCGCGGAGCTAGAGACCTTGTCTCCGAACGATGATCGATGTTTGAGAAAAAAATCAGTCTTTTTCCCCCGCGAAATCGTTAATCGTTAGTCCAAGCGATAGGAAATGTTGACCAACAATTGAATAACTTTGTTCGAATTGCATTCGGCGGCAATCCCTCCAGCTCCCCGGTAATACGTGTCCTGCAATGACAGACAAACACGCTAAGATCGATCCGAAGGAAACGGTTATGCGATTCGAGCGCTTACGTATTACTTAATTAGGACGCATTCAACCGTCATCGTCGCGCTCGTCGTGTGAAAAATAAATTCCTGAGCGTTTCGACCGCTCGGTTTCGCGTGCAGCCGTACATCGCGCACGTGTGTGTGCGTGTGTGTATGTGTGTATGTGTGTGTCTCATCGTCGCGGTTCTCTGTAACGAACGCGTGCTTCCGTCTGCTAGAAACGAAAGGCGAAAGAAAAATATTCTTTAAACACTCGCGACCGTGTAATTCTCCCTTGCATCGATTCGAAATGTCTCTTTATTCTAGGATGCAACGGTAAGCCAGATTTTATAATAAAAATTATAATTCGAATATTTGTCGTATCGTTGGGAAAGTATTACCATTGAATTGGCGTGACTTTTATCGAAATAAAAAAACAGTAAAATTGAGAAATTTGATAAAATTAGGCTGAACGTTGGAGGGATAGACGCGACACCAAGTGATTAGAGTATCACCAAAGACTGTGTATAGCCGAGGTAGTAAGTGTCATTCGATACTGTTTCGGAGTAGTAAGATTATGGCAAGATGAACCGTGTCCTAGGGTCTTATTTCCCTTGACAAGCTATACCCGTGGACGATGCAGTTCAAGTTTCATATTTTCACCTCAGATACGCCACTGAATTTGAGCTTAAATTTCATATCAGGAAAGCTTCCTATTCGAGGTAGTTTTCTCATGAACTTGGGAGGTTGGATCGATACGAAATAATCTGCAAATTCCCACGTCGATGACTCGCTTCGAGTCGCCAATTCATTGGTAATGTATAACAATCTCGCCCAAAGATACGAAACGGTGGTGAAATTATTATTTTTCACTGATTCGGGGAAGGGTTGTTTCAGTTACCCGGGTGGTATTGTATACGGAAAGAACACAGCGATGTGCACCGTGTCGTGACGAGCACTGTTTCTCTGAAAACGTCGAAAGCACACTCCAAGTACAGCGAATATTTATAAAAACATTTTGACACTATTGTTAGTAACTATATTACCAACACCGGTTGTTGTATACCGGAGTACGCGTACGGCTGGTGTTCCACTGCTGTAACATCGCCGAACAGTGTTCAAAGACGCCGTAAGTCGAACAGTCGAGTAAATTCGAATAAAATATATCGATTGGATACAGTAATTTTTAGACACGCCTGTTCCTTTACGTCTTTTTTAACGCTCGTGCTAAAAAATGTTCGTCCGCAAAGGATTAATTCTTTGAAGCACGATGGCCAACGCGGGTAACCGCCTAGAAAATTGTCAGCATCGGTGAACGCTCGCTTCGACACATTCTAAGAGCGTCACATTTTTTTGCTGGTTATCCTTATTAACCACGGTCCTTTTTAAGTAAAGATTATTTTTTACCTCCTCCGTACGAGAAAGATCCAGATTTAGTTTTAGACCATTTTCAAAATGAAACTTTTATACGTATTCGGATTAATTTTTAAAGACATACAATATTTACAATGTAAACGATCGAAAGTTGCGCGTATCGAGAACGATACGGTGTACACGATGCGGATAATTGATTTTTGCGTGTTATAGCAGTGGTATGCCAACTTAAGGATTATCACGAGACTCGTATAACGTTTTCGTTCCTGGATATAATCTTCGCTTCGAGTTCGCGTCTTCTCGTGTCCCGCTCGTGTTTGCGTTCTGCATACGTTACATCGAAAACAGGTAAAAAGCACAGCTCGCTTGGTCCTTGTTGGTGGAAACGCGGCCATTTTATCCGGCTTCGTCGCGTCTCGTAGACGTCGAATACCTGGTATCATAGATCTTGATCCTTCAATACGGTCGCCCGGATGCGTTACACCCGTATCAATTTTACCATGAATAATTGATCAATTTCCAGTATCGTTACGTGTAAAACCAAGAGGTAAGAATTTAAAATTATGTGAATACGAATCATTATATCCATCGAGCACGGTCTCGTTTCCGAATTAGGCGACAATACCGAAGGCTCGAACAGAGTAAAATTCCTGCTCTTTCGTTCGTTCCAGCGTTTCCCAACCATTCTCGGTTCCAACGAACCCCTCCTCTTAAATCGAACAGACCCGATCCTATTGTGCACTTAAGAGAGGATTATCCACGGTGCAGCGGCAAACAAATCGAAAGTTTCGTCTTTACGTTGTTTAAAAATATATTCGTAAAGTTTGAACCGACGAAGCTACAGAATATTTTCGAGAGCGAGACGGATGACCGATGCACACCGTTTGGCAACATTAAACAGACTTAACACGAAAGCGCGTCTTCTCCACAAAGTGTATAATTTTGACTTTACATAGTACACGGTTGGATATACTATTTCTCTTCTGGTTGTAGCTATCTCTTACATCCCCCATTTCATGTAAAAAAACCGATTTTACGTTAAAAAGCCTATTTGAAAATATACTCTCACTGTGGACAACAGTGTCTCCGAAATGATTCGTGTATTCGATAAAATAAAAGTGAAGCGTTTGAGCACTTACGCCACCCCGGAGTCTCAACCGGCCAGCACGTTGGGAAACGCTGGTTTATCCTGTCGCGTTCCATCCGTCGCGTAACCGGCGACGGCGATCCTCGTGGCCCGGACACTCGTTTTCGAGCGGGTGTCCAGGACTCGTGCTCCGTGGTCGCGCGTCGAACGGGGCCGAGTTACTCCAAGTTTCACGGTAGCTAGAGCGTCTCCAGGAGATTCTGTACGAGGAGAGTCGGCGCGGTGACCCGCGATTTTCCCTTCCGCGGCTGTCTACAGGTACGTACGTTACAGCGAGGCGGTCGCTCCAGCTGTTCCGACTTGTTGCTGTCCTGCTCGAGCTGCACCGACACGCTCGCGACACGCGGCGTCAAACAACCACCCTCCTGCAACAGACAATTCGACACGTTTCACGGGGAGTCCCGATGTTTGCTGGCTCGTCGGCCGTACACCCCAGAACACGCGTCAACGGCTGAACCGCCCTGTCCCGGCGACGTTGCTCGATCAGTTTCGCGCGACCCCACCTGATCCGGGGATATCTTGTCCAATAAGCAACGACGAACGAGGACAAACAGCCTAAGGTTACGGCTCTTGGTCGGAAAAAATTATTGGGAATGATCGATAAAGAATAAAGAATAAAGAAAAAGAGTACGAGAAGAATAGACTTGGTGGTACAAAATAGCCGAGTTTATACGAGTTGAATGTTTAACGACTGGAACGAATTGTGTCGCGCGAACGCGGGCTGAATAGAGAACGGGAGAAAGAGGAAAGAGACCGAGAAGAGCGAAATCTATTTAATTAGAATTATGGCGATACGACGTGACCGAAGAATCTCAATTAATCTCCGAAAGAGTTTAAGTGGCCAACGGAATGGAACTACACCGGTTCGTAGTACTATCCGGGACTCCTCTGTACCTCGACTAATTTCTTCAATTACTTTTATCGCGGTGTTTCCGCGAGAGCATTAAGAACAAAATTAACCGAACGCGGTGAAAAAACGAGAGAAATATTGAAACCTACGGGTCAAAGTAAAAGGGTTATGAAGTACAATGAACGTCGAGTGCCCTAGAAACTTAACAGAAGGAAATAATAAATTTTATTAGACCGAAGGATGCGTCATTTCAATATCATTGTACTCTGGAATATCTTCTATTATTTTTGTCACGTAGCGTCGTAATATCATGCTCGTATTACGTTTTGTCTACGCTTGCATTACATTGTTACACAGATGAAATTTTTCTTCCAAGCTGGGAGATTCAATAAGATCCTTTGTACGACGGAAATGATAACATTACTGGATTCTTTTTCTATCATAATTCTATAACTATACCGAAGGAAGGTTTCAAGTTGATGTTCTTGAATACGAGAAACAAAATTCAGAACCGTAGTCTTGTAATATTTCGAAAGAATTATGTTTCTAAGAAAGGAAGGATTAAAATTACTCACCGATAAGCAGAGATTCCCCTGATACTGGTGGGCTCGACGACGGGATTCGCTTTGCAGCTGCCACGAGCGTATGTAAAGATCGCCACGATATATGAAACCACCCCGTTTCGCTCGTAACATCAAATGCCATCTAAAAAATATACGGAAAACATCGCTTGTAAATGGTTGAAAAGAGAAAATTCGAATACAGGGATGAAGAGTAACTTGGGTCCGTTTATCGAGGGTAAATCTTGTTCGGTTATCCGGGCGACGCGACTGTGTAATCGCAGTTTTCGTAGCTGGATATTGAAAAATCACAACGCCCCCTCCCATCTGGAAGGATATTTTTCTCTCTTGAAAATATTACAACACGATTCGTGTTCGACGGGAAGAAAGGGAGACACGCGTTTAACGTACGCGCGGAAATAAATTGCCAGACGGTCGCGCGACTCATGCTCGCATTCACGGTGACAGGGTCCCTGCCTGGCACCGTCACCCGGGAACCGTTCACACCCTCTCGATAAAATAAATTCGTAAATGACATACCCTTTTCACGCGTCAGTTCCGCGCGCAGTTCATTCTCCGGGGTACTTTTTTCGCGGCCGAACGGCGTGTTTACGAGGCGGAAAAGAGGGTGAATATCAGGAGTCAATAGTCGAGTTCCACGGAGGAGGAGCACGATCCTTTATCGCGTCACACACTCGATTCGCAACGTTAACCGAACGGCGACCGATATTTTCTCTCATTCCGTTCCATTACCGTGCTCGGAATTAACGAATTATCTTACCTTTCGTAAAAATGTCTAATAATACTTTGTAAAAAAAAAAGAAAAAAGTAACTCTCCGCTTTAAAACAGTAAATTAGTTATAACAGCGATTTCTCGATAAATCAACGCGGCGAGGAAAGAGTTAAATGTAATCTCGAACCAATACCGTCCAGGAACCGCGGCCCCGCAAGAGGAAACGTTATAAACTCCCCGCTGCCTCGAGGAACATTTTGCCGGGGCTTCTCGCTAAACGCATCTCGCGAATATTTGCGCATGACTTCCGGAATGGTGGCGTGCTGCGATAATTTCCATTACCCTTGGAATTTTCTCTAAGACAGAAACCGTTCTCCTTCGGTGCTCGTCCGTTCACGCCACTTGGTAAGAAAATAAAAGGCAACGTTCCACCATCCCTCGTTCGTTCCTCGTCACCCTTTCCCGTTCGTTCACCGTCCCCTTCTGAACGCCGTTACCAGCTAACTGCTCATTGCTAACTATTCTCTCCGGTTAATTCTCCCTCGGAAGAGTGACACTTGGACTGCCCCCCGCCTTTTACAGCGCGAAACAGTTAAACTCTGCAACCCTCCTTTACATTCCTCCTTCTTTTTTCCTTCCTTTTAAATTCCACCGCCGCACAGATTCTCCGAATCGTAATAAGAATTCAACCAATCGGTATATTCTGTACACGAACGTACAACGTTCCGATTATCTCATTTCTGATGAAACAAATCGTGCTACGACGAATAGCCGCCATCGTCGTTTCTGCGGTGCATTCAGTCGGCTGAATAATCCCGATCGTTATCAAGGTCGTTGCATTTATCCGAGAACAGTTACGCGAGATTCGGGACATCGACGCAGGGCGCGACACCCGGTTTCCATGTCGCGTAATCGATTGCGTGGCTTGGACACCGGGTTACGATCGTCTGACTAAATGTCCCTTTTCCCTCGTACCTTAAATCGGTTGGTCTGCTCGCCAAATCATTTTTTCGGACTGAAAGATACTTGTCCTTTCTGTTTTTTGCATTTCGATACAATTTTTTTAACTCGATTTGCCTGGCGCGTCCGACCATTGCTTACTATTTCTACTTACGGCCGATATCAAGCTCGTACTCCACTGCACGCGCAAGGTAGAACGAAATTACACGTACAAATGCACGAAAGTATTGTACGTAATGATATTATATACGACTGAAAACAGTGCTGAAAACTGAGGCTCGAAAAAATGAAAGAATTCGTGGGAATGCAGCGTATAATTTAATAAAAAAAAATAAAAGAAACGGGAATTCGGCTCGCGTAAACTCGAGGAACAAAACGGGGCCTTCTAATGGAATTTACCAGAAAAGAACCGTGCCGGTCTAAAACACCCTGTCGCCGCAATTCGCACTAATCCACCATCGGAACAATGTCGGCCCGTCCACTAACCAGAAACCGAATTGTTTCGTCAGACAATGCCAGCTACCCCATTCCGTGCAGTGTGTTCCATCAGTTCCCGACATCGAAATGGAAACCAACCTTTGCACCTCGAGTATTACCGCTGGCCCTGCGCCGTCTCTCTCGACAGAACGTCCGTGCTTCGAACTGGTAATTAAACATCGTCAACGCGCCCAAGAGAAATGAGAAGGGCGAGGGGGTGGTTGGTTCGCGTCGCGTCCGAGCGTTCGCGCGAAATAACCTTCGATCGAACGGTGCTCATAACGAAGTGGTAACGCACCAATGGCCACGGGGATATCGGCCATTTGCTAGCACACGGATAGACCCAATGAAACGCGACGCTACATGAATTATAAAATCTCCATTTAACCGGGGAAACGATGATGGTCGCTTTGATCGTGCGCCACGACGACACCGAAGACAGAAAGATCAATTATTCGAGAGACAGAGAGACAGAGATGAATAAATAGATAGACAAATATTGCCCCGGAATAGTAGCCCCGAAGGACGTTGGCTAGTTGAAACGAGCCACGGTAACTCTTCGATAAAACGTCCAATTTCGGGACTGCTACTCACGTTTTAACGAAGCCGAGTCGCGAATCGATCTCTTTCGTTTTTAACTAACAAGGAGAATGCACGGGTGCGGAAATCGCTTTTCGAGCGGTACTACTTGAAAACTATTGCGTACCACAAGCGTAGGCGTTATACAAAATATTAAAAACGTTGAAGAAATTAAAGCAAATGACACCATAAAGGACGTGGTAAAACCAAACTGATCCTAAACTGCTTTGTAACAGAGATTATAAGAATCGTGACTGTCCGCGAGTCTGGCTCGTGATATTCTGGATCGGGCCAAAATCTTCGTCACGAGTCGGACTCGTTAAAGTACGGGAGAGGGTTAATGACAGCTTTCTCATTACAGTAAAAATAATATAAAATACTTGCTTTTGGAGGAGGAATTACTACCGATCGCGTTCGTTGCTGCGTAAACATTATCTTCCTCCACTTTGGAAAATTAAGGTCTTACAAAAATATGTGTTTTCCAAAAAATCTCCCCATTCCAACAGGAATTGCAAGTTCAATTCCCCGACTCGACGAGTTGAAAATACAGAAACGGAGGTAGCGTCAGTAAATTCCCGATTTATCAGCTCGACGAGCGCTTAACGCAACGGTGACGACGTTATCGTTGGCTATGGAATCACCCCCCCCAGTCCAGTGGCTTTCCTCGGAATTTATACCTTCGAAAAAGATGGAACGTAGAGTGGATGTCCTGGTAAAATATGTTGTCTAAAATCTACGTTCCGCTTCCGGATAATTTTCCACTCGGTATCCGCGATCTTAGTTATTAAACGTGCGATTAGTAGCTGAAACTGCATCTTTACAGTTATATCGAAGGGAAATTTAAATAATTACAAGTACAAGTACTTGTCCACCGTTAAGGGTTGGTTAACTATTTCATGGACGAGTTATTCTACGAAACATAAAGCGACCGAATATTAAATATTTTAAATATATTTAACAGCAAGCGTCCGAATAATATGCATTTACGGTTTAAAATTGAGATTCTAAAAAATTGAACAAATTTGTTCACTCGTAAATACCCATCCGTCGGTATTAAAGTAAAAAAAATGCATGGTTATAAAAATACAAAGCGGTAATTTAAATGTTCGTTCATGTCGCGATTTTCTAAAGCTTTGTTCCATTGTGGGCTGCACACCGTACCACTGCTATTCCGCTGTTATAGAGTGCTTTTCTGCACAAAACGTATGCATTATGCAAATTATGCAAAATAAAAGATATTTAAAACCGTCTAATGAAAAAAGAAATTTCTGGTTAGATCCAATTTTTCCATTCGCGTTGCATAAAAATATGCTAGCAATATTACTCTGTACCCCCTTTTCGCTTTAAACGACTTCGCGTCGAAATATTGTACCGTGAACCTAATCTCGTTCCGTCCACGTTTTACATTCGTTCTGTCGTCGTTAATAACTATCGCCGTTATCCGCGAATAAAAGATATCGTTCGCGAAATAATTGTACGAGGTAAGAAACACGGGAAAGCCAAACAACGATGCGATACTAATGTACATAAATGGTAAGTGCTGTACCGCGGGGCATGAAAACAAAAATAATAACGATTTTTTGGCGCGCGTAACAGTATTTTTCACATGCTCGCGAACATCGTCGCGTTCGTTGGCGCGACAACGATGCGCATTTTTGTCGGGAAAGCGGGAAAAAGGATATTGTTTACACGACGCGGAAAACGTGACTGTTATCCAATACTTTTACTGCACAAATGTGCAACATTTTCGCATGGCGTGCGACGCGCTTTTGTGCCGAAATGGGAACGCCCCTGGGGCTTTGTGCACCGTCGATTTTTCAAAGCGAATGAAAACACATCGAATGGCAAACACTAATGCCTGATAATTCTCCGCGCGATGCCGAAACTATCCCCCGTGCTCGCCTACGCGGATAATGCCGGAGCTTCTGCTCTTAGCCCCTTCATATATTACGTAATTTTATTTCCCCCGGAGCGCATTAGCCTGGCCTGGAAAACGCATCTGATTGAAATCAAGCGCTACCGATCGCCTATTTAAACAGCACCGGCTGTTATAGACGATAATGTTCAAAGTTGTGTCGCCCAATTCTCTCGTATATATGTACATTCACTCTGCACTATTTTTGTATCGTTCAACTAAAATGGAACGTTTCAACGTTTCGTTATTATGTCCGTTCGAAGGAAAACGCGTGGAACTTTTTAAATTCCAAGTTTAATTTAACCGACAACCGAGTGGGAATTTAAGTTCTTGTTCCGCGGAAGATTAAACTTTTAATAGCAGTCGCTACCAGCAGGAAAACAGCTGCGGTTTTTTTTCAAAACTGGTCCAGCTAACATAAGCGCGTAGTTCGATTCCAGAGGGTATTGTTCCCAGAAAAGTTTCGAATCTTCTTTACACAATCAATACTGTTGTTTATACATATACAGAGTATGTGGAAAATATTTACGCAACCTTGTTACCGTGCAGGTAATTTGGAGCAGCGCCGTTCCAATCTATCTTTGCTATAAAATTAAACAAACGAGAAGCTAATTCAATTATTTGATTTTTCCACCAGAATTTTTCCACCGTGCAATCTTCGCCAACAAACAACTTCAGATATTTTCATCCCGAATATACTGTACAGTTTAAAACGTACACTTCTTTTCAATTTACGTTGTTAAAGCAAACTCCTCTGTTGTCTAAACTATATAAATGCTTGAATGTAGCCGAGTACCAATTGCACGCTGTATTCATTTCAGTTCATTGGCTGTAAGAAGACCGAGGTAAATAAAGCGTCTAATGGTCTGCTTGAAATCTGAAACAGCCGTTCTGTTTCCGAAGCGAAAATGGATTCTGGATCCAATCGACAAAAACCGGCGACGATTTATGAGAAATTAATCTGACATTCGTGCACCCACTGCAAAGTGGAAACCAACCTGCTGTGTATCGAACTGGCGTGAAGTAAATAAACCGTAAAAATCCCAGCAGCGCAGCGCGCGGAGTTAGTAACACTCTGTGCGTTGTAGGTACACGTAACTCGACAAATGTTTCACGAGTGAATAGACCGGCGGTAAAAAATTTTTCATCTCCCTCAACGGGTACATTTTTAATCACATTTATTCCAACAATATTTTATCGCATATTTGGACAGCAGTATGAACCGTCGCAGCCTCGTAACGAACGAAAACAATTGATAATGTTCATTTACTTCCTTGATACTGTAAAAATACGAAAAATCAAATCACGATGCGCGTAATTAATTTACTAGAATTTCTCTCGAAGCGTCTAATTATTGATTAAGTTAATTCAATCGTAACTAGTATGCAAGAAGAGCAAATATATAATATATCGCAACGGAGAATCAATATAGAACATAAGTAGGATAACCGAAGAGACAAAAAAGGAACAAGACATCAAAGAACAGAAGATTGAGTGAAAAATCAAAGAAAAACGACTAGGATCGATCGATAGGAAGAGTGATTTTCCAGTAGGATAACTCGACAAGAACTATTCGACTCCGAATTTCTTACTTGATCCAATTACCACGTAAGATTCATGGTTCGTCGCTGAAAATGATAATATAGAAATATACGGAGTGCTTGTTCGCGGCAGCATATGGAACATTTTTATCGACAGAATTTATTTGAAAAAAATTCAGAGATTCGTCCGTAATAAATCAGTCGCTGTCGGATACAGACGAATTTCTTTCGAAACCGTTCGTTAAGTGTCGGACACAATTCGCGTCGCAATTTATGCGTACGATGATTTGTATTATATACAACAGAGAGCTCATGGTTAAACGTTGGCCAGTTCTGCAGTTCTTCCGATGAATAATTCATACGCCTGAATAATTCATAAGTCGAACGCGTACTGAAGGGATGAACAATGAAACGGTCGAAAATGTGGTGTAAGATTTGACAAATTTATCGCTTTATGGTTTATTTACAAGCGCGTCGGTGTGCAGCACCCCCCTATAAGCGCAATCCACTTAAACGGCGAATCAATATTTTCTGGGACGCGATGTCGTGCACGAACGCACGCAGAAATAAATAAACGCCGAGGTATATGGTATTTTATTGTTATTACAGCGACACGTTGTGCGCGCAGATGCTGCTGGACGATTCTGTCGGACTATTTTTAAATAGACGACAACGGAGATGAATAAAATTGATTCCCGTGCTTCGATATAATCTCTCACCTTGTGGGATGAACAAATTTTAACTTTAATCGTACAATTATCAATATTTCTCAATCTGATTCTAATAAAAACGTTTCGAAAGATTCCCTGCATAACCACCCTGTAATAACCCACGCCATCGTGCACTGATAAACAAAACCACAACCCTCGCATTCGCTTCACACGCACACGCACACGCACACGCGTATTTTAATTGATGCAAATGAAAAAGATCTCTTAACGAACTTTGAACTATCAACTCGATGCCGGTACACGCTACACGGCTTTCCCTCTAATATAGATCCCACCGTCGAGAGAAAACAAAGAGACAGACTATTGTAATTACACCGTCCAACGCCTCGACGAAAACACACACGTACACACGCGCACAGAGACGAGGATCGCGGAGTTCGTTCTTCCAGTCCTGCACTTTCGCTGGTCCGCGAGAATGTGAACGTTTTCCATCCCTTCGAAACACTCCGCCATCTCCGACCATACTATTTCTCATACTGATTGCGGTCTGCATGGGAGATTTGTATTTGCATTTAAAATTTCCACGGCGCGGCGCATCTGTCAAACGGCGCATATTGAAATCATCCGCGCGGTGGTTACACCCTCTGCATCCACGCCTGACCGCCATTACTTTCCACTTTGTTTCTCCGAAATTAACCCCCCCTCGCCATCCCGGCGAACAGTTTACCTCCTCCTCTGACGATCCTATTGGCCACGCCTACGTCACCTCGACGTTCCCATTGCGAATCCATTGAATCTACCTACCGAATATTTTGCCAGCAATTTCTAGATGGTCCAAAGTTAATTATAAATTTCAAGCAATCCCAGACCTAACCCAACAGTTGAACAACGCTCGTTCGGAGTGTCTCCGATTAAAAAACGGATCGAGGAATTCCTCTCGTCCGTTCGATCGAAAGCTGGTCCGCGACGCGAGGCTTATCGATCGCGAAATCAAACTATAATTTCGCCAGGCAAGAAAGAATTGATTCCGGTGCGGCGCCTCTGCAGCCCCCAGCCGAGGGCTGGAAAAACAACGCGAATCGTCGCTGGCAAATTTACCGTGGCTGTTTTATAGACGCTATTTGCACCGCGGGGGCGCGAGAGGATTACAGTCCGCGAACCTCGAGAAAAAAAGAAGGCCGGGGGGTGGGTGGGGAAGGACACGACCGGGAGAGAACGCTAGGGCGCACTCGCTGTTCGTCCCGCAATATCCTATAATCCAGTGTTTCTCAAACTTCACCCTCTCGAGGATCTCTTTTATAAAAGAAAACTTCCGGGAGACCTTCTCTCGGTAAAATTACGTTTAATTATTTTACGTCTATCGTATAGGACGATGTATTTATATCTTTTTAATCTTCACTTCGTTCAAATAGTTTCATATTTTGTTAATCCAATGATTTTTCACGCTGTTTACTAAAGTGATACTTTTACGTTTACTTAGAAAAGATGAAAAGTTTCTTCAAATTTCTAGAATTATCATGTACGATAGATTATTCTTGTCCTTCGAAACGGTGACCACGATTTGAGAAATACTGCCGTAATCCACGCACCAGGGGTGGCAAGAACCGTATGCAGCGGGCACGATTGTCGTACCGGGGATGAAAGTTTCGCTTCAACCCCGAAAAACGAACTTATTCTACTGTCTCAACGATTCGTGCGCGCGTTAAAAACCGTACAAGATCGTGAATTTTTAATTCTAATTCGCGGGAACGAGGCAGCCGCCAGGAGATTTCGTTTATTTTGACTGATTTCCTTGGAGAAATGGGAACAAATCATCGCTACCTCTGCAGAATTAGTCATTTATTCTTTGAACGATGTCGCGCGGTGATGTAACCGCAGTTTGTAGAGTGACACATGCAAGATGGATCTAAATGTGTATCACGTACGGGGTCTATCCATCATGCGTCCACAAATCGTTTATTACTTGCTCGGTTACTATTTAATACAACGGACGAGTATTGCTATCGATCAAAATTTACACCACGGGACAGATTTTCACGCGTTCTGTCTTTAAAAACGCGAAAATACCGATTACAAAATGTTATATCTCGGAAATGGTTTCTCGTATGGTAATATTTATGCACGAGGCTTCGATGCTATTAAAAAATTACGTATACTAAATAAGTCGTTGGAGGATTAAACGTTGTTACTCTATTAATCGTTCTCTCACCTGGTGATGAGTTGATGCACCCTTGGCCATTGACCCCGCGACTTCAGAATCCTGACCGTCCCCAACAGCGACGATCTGTGCGAGGGCGAGATCTCCATGGCTTTGAGATAGTATTTCAGGGAGGGTAGCCATTTGCCTGAAGAGACGAAGGACCATTTGGCGTGAGTAGAAAGCCGAGGGCGTGCCACGGGGATGTTTCGTGGCGGAGTTCCGGGCGTTGTTTGGCTACTTTAAACTACTTTAACCCGTATTTCGACGCGGGGTACTCGGAGGTTTATCCTTCTAAAGCAATTTCATCGTTTTACCGTTGTCGCTTACCGTTTTGGTACAACCAGGAAGCATATTCCGCGAGGTGGTCCGGACTTCGGGGTTGCAGTCGAACGACGTGTCTGAGAAGCACCCCCGCCGCTGGACCGTTTGCTAATCTCGCTAGGACCAAGTACGCGGGCGTGTACGCCGGGTCGAGGGACACGCATTTTTGTAACATTCGTATGCATTCCTCTGTCCTGTTTGTTTTCCTGAAACATCAAATACAAACGCGGTACATCAGTACATTTTAAATCTAAAAATATGAACCGTTAATTAAACAGAATCTGTCAAACTGTTTTCACGGGAAGATAAGGTTTCAGAAATACTACTTTCTGCTACGAGTAGCGTTGCCTCGTAAACGCGAGAGGGAAACTGATATTCGAACCATTTTCGAGTGGTTCGAAATTTACGTCCCAATATGTTTCAAACAATGCTTCGTTAACAATTACATACGCGCGCGTTTCCCTGGGCACGCAACAACGATAGTCCATTCCGATCGCATATGAGAATCATGCTCGCAAAATGATGCACGATCATGATCAAGATACGAATACGCGCACTTGGTTTCCACGCAGGATACGCGGTCGTGCATGTGTACCTTGCCTTGTTTCCTTTGCGTTTCATCCTACCGCGAAATGCATCTGTCCGCACCGGTACCTCTGCACCAATGTCAATATAATATTCTTAAATTATTTCGTGGAGTTCAGAGAATTTAACAAACGAATATAACGATATCCATCGAAAGAATGACATATTTTACGAACGAAATTTAAAAAGTAACATGTGTATTTACTGTGTCAGCCAGAGTTCTTTGAATAATTATTAAATGTAAAATAGTTTATTGCAATTATACTTTTAGAGAAAGCACCTAAGAGAGATGAGATTTTCTGGATACGGATGAAAGTTTCGAAACGAAATGGTTATGCAATCTTTCGTTCCCTTTTCCTCGGCGAAGGCAGTAAAAAAAAAGCTCGTTTCAAAGGATTTTAGAAAGTCCAATTTGAAGGACTCTCAAAGCGTGTAACAGAAACGTCGTATGAAAATTCTGTCGCGCGCGGAATGCTGAAAAATTAACGGCCAATGTTTTTCCTGCGCGTAAACGCGCGACGAAGAAAAATTATTTGGTATAGCGAAAGGATGGCGGCGCGGCGATGAGCGTATGTAAGCTTCCATCCTCCCGTCAATTAAACTTTAATTTATCAAGCACGAGGCGTTAATTAAAGTTTAATTTTGAGGAACGCCGCCAGAATTACCTTGGCACGCTAAATTTATCGCGTAGCATGCATTTCGGTCTACTTCGATATGCCATTAATAAAATGGAGCACGCGGGATTCGAGGTTCTTCCTGTAACTTTGTTTATTCTGCGCGAGGGCGAAACTCCATTAGACCCCGGGCTATTCGGTCACGATAGAACGAAAATAATCCTTAATTTCAACCTTGTTAAACACGCGTCAACGTGTTTTTGCATTCTTTGTAAATGGAACGGATGAATTATTCTATCAGAAATGCAACGCGTCAGAGAATACTGCGACAGCTTTTTCGAAAAATATTCCGTATAATATTTCTTCTGTTTAAAATAGGTCCACGAATTTAGTTCGAGCTTGAAACTAATTTTTTACTAACCTGTAAAGTTGACCAAGATTATAGTGAGCGTTCACGTGCCCCGGCTGCGCGTTTATCGCCGCCAAAAAGTGTTGCTCCGCTTGATCGCCCACTGTCAGTGTACCGAGGTTGTTATGGGCACTGGCATAAGCTGGCCATAGCCTGTAATCAAAGTGATTAATGATTCGAAAAATCATGCTCGTTATCGTGTAATTAATCGCGAAGGTTATTCCGTTATTATACGTAGTCTGGTAATAATATGAAATCGATTTTGCAACCGAAAGAAGCAAAATGCGAGCAGCGATCTCCATTTTGCAACAGATACATCCGTAGGTAAATTTTCTTTAATTTTTCTTTCATATTCTTAGCGGATTCTATTTGCTACGGCAAACATAAATATGAATACTGTCTAGATCGATACGTAAGATCCGAAATATGTGAAACTCGTTACCCTAGTGATACGGAACGTCAAGCAAGAAACACTAGACAATGGAGACACAAAATATACGATCTCGCAAGCTTAGCGAGCTCGATACGGGCAACTCTGGTACCGAAGGGACTCGACACAGAAGGCTATTTAAATACGAAGGACCCTGGAAGCAAGGACTTATGGAAGACTATACAGACAACAGTATACTCGTGGTAGCAGAGACAAACGTCTCTAGACGCGGGGAATTCGGTAACTGGCCAACTCGAATCAATGGAACGTCGTGTACACGGTGTACACGATATTCGCCAGTATTTGTCAAGATGTTACGTAGAATCCATGATTGTTTCTGGCTTATGGGATCCGACACATAGTTTTAGAGTACCGGAAGATTTATTTTTTTTAAGATCCACGTGGAATGGTGTCAAAGGTTGTTCCAAAGGATCTAGGCCTCTACGACAGAGGGTCCTAGAGGTACCTGAAGGTCTCGAGATCCATAAGAGTACTCTTGAGAATGCCTGAGATTCTCGATACCCCCTAGATCTCTGTAGATTTCTGTACAACTGCCAGCACACCTCAAATCTCACCAGTTTTAAGTTGTTCGTGTCGAATTCCATAATTCTAACATACAGGGTGTTCGACCACCCCTGGAAAAAATTTTAATGGGAGATTCTAGAGACTAAAATAAGACGAAAATCACGAATAACAATTCCTCGATTGAGGCTTCCTTAAAAAGTTATTAAAAAAATTAAATTAAAAAATTTCAAATCGTTTTGAAAAAATTATTATTAGTTGCAGGGGTCGATCGCAGTCATTTTTGGTGAAGAAACATAGCCCCGAATTTCTACGCACTTTCGAGAAAAAAATTCTTTACCGAAAATGCAATGTCTGACCATATATGTTAATATATGTATGTCACATGTTAATGGAGGTCCAGAGCCCCAGAAAAATGGGCCAAAAAAATATAACCTTTCAATGAAGCCACAATGAACAAATTAATATTCTAGTTCAAATTTCTCCATATTCTAGTCCATAGTTGTCAAGTGGGCAATTTAATCAGGAACGAAACTTTAGTTTGATTTGAAATTAATACTTCATATCTCGTTTGATCATAATACATTGTGTCTTATGCGATGTATTCTCGCTAAAGAATTATTTCAAACAATTTTTGTATCGTAGAGTCAATGCACCCTTTCATCGCGTTACTCGTAGCTTCGCTGTTTCTAATTTCAAAGGGGACAAATGTTTAAATATTCGATAACCATTCCAGCGAATATAGCGATTGATGTAAAACCACGTGCTCCGCTGGTTTTGTTGTTTATAATCCTTTGTGAATATCGAGCGATATTGCAGAGTAACATCAGCGTTCTATTGTTCCTTGAATTTCTTTTGTTTTTTTTTGTGAATCGCATCATATTCCACGCAATCCTTTTTGTGCATTAGCTGTTCCGCTTAGTTTCGAAAAATTACGGTAAAATCGATTTTTTAAAATATTCGCGATATTGTTTCAGACGTAACAATAATTTTATTATGTTGCACCGTGTTACAATTACAAAGCGAAAAAACTCATAAAGGGTAGAAACGAGTAACTGGTAGAAAATGAGACCAGTTTAAATCACCGGCCTTAGAACCATCCAAGATTTAAACGATTTTTCCCTGCACACTGAAAACCGATACGAAATTTCTGCCCCCGCGGTGTACGTCTAAATTGCTTCTAAGCATGAAATTCTCTACTTAATAAAATGTCACCGGCACCCTACCTTCTCTGCGGGGCACGCAGTCAACTACAGCGTCGAGCTTTTATACGAGAAAACAGAATTTACGGATTCAGAATACGTTGTACCTCTCTAGAATAGAGTATTCTATGGTCTGAAAGCTTGCATTAACGCGATCGTAATCTACGGTGCAAATTATTTCGGCTTCATCAGTTGCGTGGTGGTTAAATTAAATGGGAATTCAGAGAACGAACCGTACACCAGCTAAAATGGGTGGGGGGAGCAATATCTAAACCAAAAGATGCACGACAATTTTCAATATTACCACGTAAATATTCTGACCTCCATTGTATTGTTTTTTTATTCAGTCTTTCAATACTACTATTATTTCACTTGATTATTTCACACAGTTTATTTTCAAGTTACGAATACGTGAATTTAAAACAGTTTCGGATCACTTTTTAAATAGATTTGGTGCGTTCTGTATGCTTTGAAACGTTTTTAAAGTAAAAAACGCGCAATAGCAGAGATCATGTTAATCGTAGTACAGACGATAACGATACTTTTACTTTATATCTGTGTTAAATTTCCTGAAGATTGGCTCATCAGTGTAGTAGCAGTTTTTAGGGTCGCCAACTCCGGGGAAGTAGTTTTGAGCAAAACGACTTTAAAATTAGACATCGTGACACGCGATGTTTCCGCCCGCGCGAGCAACTGTACCACCTTGATAAAGTTCGCTGCTAAAACTTAGTAATTAGTTTAATTATACCGCGCCCTTTGCCAAACGGGATTAAGAATACAAAAAAATTAATTCAGGCATCTTTGATGTAGGTTGTAGCAGCAACGAGCTTCTTATGATTTCTCTTTAACATTTTCACAGACTTGCGAAATCCACGAATTCAAGGTTGAACATAGTTAATCCAATCTTGCAAAGTGTACCGTATTCCAAATAATTACCTCGTAAGTTTAAATTTAATTTAAAGCCCACCAAATATAGTACTTTTTGTAACTTTTCCGATGAAACGAGCATTAAACAGCAGAATCGTCAAATTTTTACGTTATTCTTTGAGCGCGTAGAAAATTGAGTCTCGAACGATTAATTATCGAAATAAATAAATAAACGTGTACATAAGAAGAGCGTGCGCGTATATACGAGTCGCGTGACATCGGTAACAGCAAATTGACTCCGTCGAGACGCCGTGCCGTCCAAATGGCGCGGTCTTATCGTGTAATATTCGACATTAAGGGGGCCATTGCGGTGGCAATACACCGGTCCTTCGTAACGCCGGAGAATATTAGAGACGGGGAGAGAAGGAGGAAAAGTAAAGACAATCCTGGAGGTCGGATATCCAAGTATAGTTGCTTCGTAACGGTGTAACTGGTCCTCTGGGGTTCGTTGCGAAAGCTCGGTAAGGGACCATCGAGATCGAAGAAAAATACGGAGATGGGATTCGCGCAAGAGTTACACACCCGAATGAAAAAAGGGGTTAAAAGGGACAGAAAGAAATCCGACGCGAGTGGATTATGGCCAGCGTCGGAAAAGAAAAATATAATCCGAGCTGTATTCGATCGCGTCTGCGATGCATATGTTGACGGTCACGCGGCGAATTCACTATAAATAGTACGGTATTAACAACTATATACTATCCTGGTTCGTGCACGATAGATACCCTGACGATAATAAATATAGAGAGTATAATTTCCTGTCTTCAACGAGCTGAAATTGAATAAAATTTCATACGCCGCCTCGACGATCACGAACAATAAATATTGAAAGAGTTAAAACGTCAGTAGAATTTATAACGCGTGAATCAAACTGCGCGGTCACGAAACCCGTTAATATTATCGTTGAATTAATCTGAAACTACAGTTTCCACGATACCGTCGTAGGCGGATAAATGGTCAGATAACAACGCCACTGATTATTACCCCTGTCACCGTTTTTTTCCGTCGTTGGTGATATAAAAGAATCCCCGATCGCTAGATATCGCGTTTTCTCGTGGAACGTCGATGAAACTGGTAGTTTTTCGTAAAATACGGCGGGCATTAAATCAGAGAATTCAACGTTTCTTCCGCGTGGCGCATTCGCGACGCTAGAGCGCGTCGATTCCCCGAGCGATGTAAGCGTTTCTTCTCGATTCAATTTTCTTAATCGCGTAAGACGTTCGACGACACGCTGCCGGGCAAACAGAAACTCCGCCCGGCAATCGCACGACGCGAATACGAGAAAGGCTCGAAAACACGTTTCGGGACGCAATGCGTGAAGCACGAAACGAACTTCGCGCTTATTACGTTACAGAGAGACCTGCGAGGGCCCTGAAAGGCCTCTTAACAGGAAAATGCTCTCGACGCAGTCACCTCTCTTGTCGTGCTTGTATCGTTCAAAAAGAGGATTTCTCAGAAATGCGTTGCTACTTCCGGAGAATAAAACGCAATCCCTTAGTATACTAAGAAAACGTGTGGAATTGTCCATAGAAATTTTTCTTACTTTCCTACTGCATTGTTATCTGCATACATAGAATGAGTTTCGATGTTGCAACCTAGATACTTGTTTAGTTTTAAAGATACGAACGAAAATTTCAAGCACAAGTTTTTTGGCTCTCTTGGGTGAGGATTCCAGTTCCAAGGATATTTTCAGATCATTTTTAAATGGAACATTTTGATGTATCCTTTGAATTGCTTTTAAATTAAATCGTATCGCTATCAATAAGTAAAAATATCGAGCATGGATCATACATAGCAAATTCTCCAGACACTTTTTACAAAAAGTAGCAAAAAATCAATAAAAATATTGGCTCGCGAGACGGCACGATACGATTGCAATAACCAATATTGCAATGAGTTTAAAATCGAAGGAAAAAAAGCGAGACGAGTTCTTGAGAATCGTCGAAACGTAGAAAATCGGGACTGCTTGAAGGACTCTCTTAATAAGTTCAATTAGGAACGACTAACTACCGTTCAAGTAAAAACTCCGAGTGAAATACTTTTCACATTTTTTTCCTTGCAGTAAATGGTACAAC